TGGATTGTTTACTATGCCTGGAATGCTCTTGGGGACAGAATCTGATAACCATCACCAGATACTTGAAGGGCAGTCAGGTGCACAAGGTATAGATCATGTATTTTCCAGAGGGTGGAACCAGAAATAGACTGAGCCCCGCCCCTCTTCCGCTAATTCACATCTTCACTCAGCAGGTTAATCGAGCCCTTCCCATGGACCAGGCACTCCTAGGTGCTGAGTGTGCACAAGGGAGTACGGGTCAGCTCCAGTCCTTCAAGAGCTTGTAGTGCAGTAAGGGATTCAGACAAGAAAATAACTGGCAATGCTGGGAGACAAGCATGGGGACCAAAGAGAACACGTAGGGACAAGGAACCCAGGGGGTTCCAGAGGGAGATGAGACCTGCGCTGAGCTCAAAGGCTGAGCAGAATGAGCAATGAAGCTGGGAAGGGGAGGACCTATGCAGGCAGAGGCCTGGTGGCACAAGAAGATGGACCCTGCCTAGGAGGTGCTGTGGCTGGAGGACAGGGGAGACAGGGTGGCGTGCATGACATGCTTGGCTCGTGAGATGACTTCTAAACTTCCAGATTGGAAATTCGACAGATAATTGGGCCCATCCAGGGTCTTCGTAATTCCTGCCTCAAATGCAACTGGGGTCCCGTCCCAGGTATAGTCCTGGCTGGCCCCCGAGTTCCTGACACCACAGGATGACTCGTGGAGGTGGTGGTCTACAGTTTCCAGATCCCTGCACTCTAGTGGCTTCTCTGGCCCTCAAGGTGGGGCTTGGTGCCTTTTCTCTTCCCTCATTCTTGCCTGTCTCTCCCACTTCCAGGTTGGGGCCCAAGGACTCCCCTCATTCCACTTCTGAACATCAGTGTTATATTCAGAGGACCTAATCTGGCCTGGGAGGGGTGCCTCCCAGGCCTTCCTTCTACCCTTTGGTTCTCTCCCCAACTCTGATTTACTTAAGGAGACATGTCCCCACCCACCATTTTCACTGTCTCCCCGAAGCCTCCAGCCCCTGTGTGAACTGGGTTTTTCCCTGGGCTGAGGGTGATGTGGGGGCAGGAAAGTGAGTAGAACCTGTGTTATGTCTCCTTTCCTGTCCCTGCCTTCACCCTGCTCAGCACTTTGAGGAACCAGAAAAGAACATGCTAATGGATCCTGAAAAAATATTCCAAGGATAATGCGATGCTGAGTTGGAAGAGCCCCTTTTAAAATATGAACCCGTAAAGGTTTCAAAGTAATGCCCAAGGCCTTTTCATTGAGTGAAGATGGAGCTACTACTGGTGCCCGAGCCCGTGGCACTTGGTGCCATGAATTGCTAACTCTGTTCTGGAGGAGAAACCAGCACCCTGGCTCTCCATCAGACGTTCTAATGTGTGAGACCGTGACAACAAAGAGCTATGGGCTTATTGGCGAGACTGAACACATCCCCTGTAGCCTCATGAAATATGATACTTGCTCTTAGAAGCAAAATTAATGTATACATTTGAATCCATATATCACCCACAAAGGGGAGCCCTGAGTACCTTTGGTGTTTCTGAGCAGTGTGTTGCCCACAACAATGCCCTTGGGTGCCAAGAGCCTGTGTCAGCACTGTGAAAAGACTGGCAAGACAGGAGGTCCTTAGCTACCCCCAGAAGCACAGCCACATTGGCAGCCTCAGGTGTGAGCAGTTTCGTGGCAGACAAAGCAGAAACCTGGCAAGAGGCTGACCCTGCTGGTGAGAATAGAACTTTCTAGTTTAAAGCAAGGGACTCCCAGTCTGGAATGGGGGTCTTCCCAGGGATAGGGTGGTGGGTCTATGTCCACACATGCTCTCCTTTGGCTCTCCCACCCGCTTCATCCTTCGGGTGCTGGCTTTGACCCTACATGTGCTGCCCACTACCCCACTTCCCCCTCCATCTTGGGTTCTCCTGGGGGCAACAAAGCCCTGCCGCTGGTGAAGGAGCCTGAGACCTGCCTGTGGCCGTAGGAATTGCAGTCAAAGTGGAACCCAATTTGATAAAAAGAAGTAAGTGTTTTAATCTTTAGCAGGGGTGGCATCAGAAAGACTTCACAAAAGAAGAGTCATCTGAGCTGAATCTTGAAGTAGGATCTGGGGAAGGTATGAAAAGACAGTGAAAAGATGATGTGAAAGAGCATGGTGACTCCTCAGAATATTAGAACCAGTATGACCAGAGCAGAGAGTGTGGGGTCAGGCGACAAGGGGTGAGCCTGGACAGTAGTTTGGGACCAGATTGTGCAGGGTGTTAAGTCAAAGGTGAGGAACTGGGAGCTGGAGTTGAAGGAATGGAGACCGAGTCAAGGGTTTTAAACAGGAGGCTCCCATGATCACTTCTGGGTCTTGAGAAGATCACATGTGTAATGGTGGTGAGCCAGAATTCCTTGGGGAATCCTGCTATAGACGGGGTGTCATTTGCAAAGGCTATTGCCTAGTCCAAGTGGAAGAGGACTGACTACATGAAGATAGTTGGGAAGCCTAGAGAAGTCCAGTGATTGTTCTCAGTTCATTTGCTAATGGCAGAACCTGGAATTAAACCCAGCTTAATCCTAACAGCAGGTGACAAGCCTGCCCTCAAAAGATTACATTCACATACACTCTCAGCCACCCCACAGATTCTTTTTTATAAATGAGGGAACACTTGAGGGCCTGAGAGGTCAGTCTTCATTGGTTGGCAAAATGAAACAAGAAACTTCAGCACCTGAATGGGAGCCAAGTGAAGACAAATCAGTAAGTTTTGTTGTGTGCCTACTACGTGCCCTGGACTCTGCCTTCAAGGAGCTCACAGTCTGGAAGGGACATAAACACAGAGAGAAAAACTCCAAACAAGGCAGATGGATACGTGCTGGAATGGAAGGATGGGCAAAGGGCCCCAGGAACCAGGAAGAGGACATAGTTTCTGCTGAATTGTTGCCAAAACCTGTGGAATCCAGGACAAGAGCCTCAACGATGGAATTTGGGTTGAAGGATGAAAACAGTTTCCATGGAAGTGATTTGATGCTATGCAGGGCCTGGCCTGAAGCCCAGATCTTTCTGTCTCTCCTGCTCCTTGGCCCTATCGGGATACTTGTGCTGGGTCCAGCCATCAGATGGACACGGGTACCGGGACAGCTCAGGGAACGAGGGTAGGAGCATTCCTGGGCCCTTCACTGGGCACCAGCATGCCCTGCCTGCCTGATGGGGGTTCAGGAACAGAGGGCTGGGAGCTGAAGAGGTGGCACTATGGGAAGAGCCACTTTTGTCCAGGCTGCTGGGGGCTTTTGAAGCTCAATCAGGATGTGGCTCCCTGGAGACCCTTGTCACTGTTTCCTGTTTGAGAATGCCCTCCTGCCCATCCCTGGCTGGAGCAGTTTAAGTCAGACTCTGGCTCACTCTGGCTGAAGTCTAAGATCAGTGAGCCAGATCCCAGTCAGTTCTCACACGTAACTACCATGGGCTAGTCATATAAAGTCGCCCTGCTAATACCTGTTTCATGGAGCAACGGTGACCATCACATGAGCCTATAGACTATATATAAAAGCAAAATTATGAAAAATGTATGATTTTTTTTGTACAGTAAAGGAAACAACAAAATGAAAAAGCCTACAGAATGGGAGAAAATACTTGCAAACTATTTATCTGATAAGGGATTAATATCCAATATGTAAGGAACTCATACAACTCAACAGCAAAAAAATAAACCTGATTAGAAAATGGGTAAATGACATGACTAGGCATATTTCCAAAGAAAACATACAAATGGCCAACAGGTACATGAAAAAGGTGTTCAGCTTCACTAATCATCAGGGAAATGCAAATCAAAACCACAATGAGATAGCACTTCACACTTGTTAGGATGGCTGTCATCAAAAAGACAAGAAGTGTTGGCAAGGATGTGGAGAAAAAGGAACACTTGTACACTGTTGGTGGAAATATAAATTGGTACAGCCACTATGGAAAACAGTATGGAGATTCCTCAAAAAATTAAAAATAGAACCAGGACAGCAACCCTACTTCTGGGGTGTATATCCAAAGGAAATGAAATCAATATGTTGAAGAGCTATCTGCATTCCCATGTTCACTGCAGCATTATTAACAATGCCAAGAGATGGAAACAACCTAAAGTGTCCATTGATGGATGAATGGGGAAAGAAAATTTCACACACACACACACACACACACACGGATATTATCTTACCATAAAAAAGAAGGAAATTCTGCCATTTGCAACATGGATGAACCTGGAGGACACTATGCTAGCAGTGAAATAAGCCAGACACAGGGAGACAAATGCTGTATCATCTCACTTATATGTGGAATATAAAAAAGTCAAATTCATAGAAACAGAGAGTAGAACAGTGTTTGCCAGGGCCTAGGGGTGGTGGAAATGAGGAGATGGATCAAAGGGTACAAACTTCAGTTATAAGATGAATAAGCTCCGAGGATCTAATGTACAGTTAATACTACTGTACTGTATACTTGAAATTTGCTAGCAGAGTAGATCTTAGGTGTTCCCAGCACACACACAAAAGAACAGTAACTTTGCGAGGTGACGGATATGTTAACTAATTTGAATGTGGTAAGCATTTCCCAATGTGTATGTATATTAAACCATCATATTGTACATCTTTTAAAAAGCATGTTGTGTAACCTAAATTATACATTTGTATTTGTCAATCATACCTCAGTAAAGCTGGGGAAAAATAAAAACCATAAGAAAACGAAAATATGTTTTCGTTATTGGGAGCCTATCCCTGAACACAGCTGAGAGGCTGGAATTTTATAGAGCAAGCGGAGTTGTGTCTTCAGTTCTGCAGGAACTTTAAGCCTTAGGGGAACTGGTAATCAAGAGAAATTACTGGAAAAGGGAGGAAAGACTGACAGAGAGGCCAGCATGTTCCCAGACTGCACTTCACATGGCAGCATGCATGCGGGGCATAGGCTTAGGATTCAGACCAATCAGGAATCTCCATCCTGTCACTTTCCCTTATTCAACTCATATTTGAGGGTCTGTTGTGTTCCTGGAAGTGACTAGCTGAGTGACCTTAGGTAGACAACTTTTTTGAAATTCATTTTTCTCATCTGGAAAACTAAAAATAACATGCACCTCATTGGAGCTGTTCCCAAAATTAAATGAAATAATAAGAGGTAAGGAATATATTTAGAACATTAGCTCTGTGTCTGAGCCTGTAGAGCGCTAGGGCCCTGAGTTTCCACCCTGACTTATTTCCTGATAAGGTTGGGCAGCCCTGGCCCACACGTGGGCTGGGCTCCTGGACTGGTACCCAGCTTGCCTTCCACAGAACTACCTGCCAGGCATTCAGCACTCCCACCAGCTGGGCCAGAGAACACAAAGGAAGCAAAAATGGCTTCTCCCAAGGCTGACTTGGCATGATCTGGGCTGGTTAGTTGAAGGAAGCAGAAGCTGCTCAAGTATCTAGTGGTCCTTCAAACTCATGCTGTTTGCCTCAGGGCAGTCTTTCCACCCTTCCTTAACTACCATTAGCCAAGGTCTGTTCAGATGTCCTGTATGCAGAGGGAGTAGGCAAAGATTGCTTTCTCTCTGCCACTAAAGAAACTTGGGCCCTATTTCTTCCACTGAAGAAACAGAATGAAGATGCATCTTTCCCAGGTAATATCTGGACTCACTCAGCCCATCTCCTTGGGAAGGACTTCCTTACAGACCTTTCCAGGCATCCTGCCTTTCTCATACCTATGGCCCAGGAGCCCATCACCAGTCCTTCCTCACAAGCAGCTAAAGCTGGTACTGACCTGATTAAGCAGAAAAGGAATTAATTTATTAAAAGGGTTTTGGCAGGGCTAGAGAACCAGGGCTGACCTGAACTGAAGCTTCCAGAGATGCTATCCAGAACCATGCTGCACAAGCAACCTGACAAGGCAGCTGTTGATGCTGCCTTTTGTGTGCCACCAGCAGCCCACCAGCCTGTGACTGCCCCTGCAGCCAGTGCAAATGCTGCTTGCTGCATTGAGAATGCCGCCTTGCAGCCACAGCTGACCCCCAAAGCAAGTCACATGCCTTTGGTACCGTCCCTTAAGAAACTGACGCCTGCACATGCTCTATCCTCATGTTGGTCACCTGCAACTCAGAGTCCTGTCCTGGTGCCCCTGACCAGTGAACTCCACACCACAAGCTTCTAACACAAGTTTTCTGGCTTCTATCTGGGAAAAGCAGACTCCTAAAGTGGGAAATCTTCCAAGCATTAGAACATGCCTCGGAAACAGCCCCCCAAAATGTGAAATGTTCACTTGGCACGCTCTCCATGGGCTCTCATCATCTTCCTAGTCCTGTCTCTTCCCACCTGGTGGACTCAGGCCCTGAGCCCTTTGTTAAGGCTGGGCCTGAGATGTTCTGCAGGGAAACATAAGCCATGAGTGGCACAAGGAAATTCAGAAGGGCCCCTATGGACAGTGAGAAACAAGGGGGTGCTGCCTGGCCTTGGGAACCTAAGAGCTGGTTAGGGGAAGGGTGCCAGGGTTGTGGGAGCCCTTTGTTAAGCCCATTCTTAACTAGACTCAAAATGTTAGACCTGGGAAGGCCTTGGGAGAGCATCTAGTGAGGATTACAAACTCAAATGCCTGCAAGGAGGAGCCAGACAGGTAATAAATTAACAAAGGACAACAGGGGATAGTGGTTCTGTGGAGAATGCCATTTAGGCATTAAAATTCAAAACTTTAAAAAAGGCTTGCAAATGTGAGTCAGAAAGTGGTTGCCTGGGAAGTAGTGGAGGACGGGAAGTTGACTAGGCAGGAGCATAAGGGAACTTTCTGGATGATGGAAATGTTCTAGCTTCTATCGTGCTTTGGGTGGTGGTTACTCAGTGTGTACATCCATCAAATAAACTTCATCAAATAAATAGTTAAGATCTGTGCATTTTATCGTATTTTAATTATACCTTAATTTTTTACTTGGGCAAGTTAATAAAAGTCTATCAATAAGCTGATTTGGGTTCAGGCTATTTGCAAACTTCTGTTCCAGTCAAACTTCTTTATCGTATATGTGAGGCATCAGAGTCCCTGAGAGGGAAAGTGGTTTTCCCAAGGGCACAGGAGAATCCTGACTGCCCAGAGACGGCCTGCGACTCCTCGGCCTGGGGAAGGGTGACAGCAGCGTGGTCTAGTCGGCCGCCTCTCACCGCGCAGACTCACTTCCCTGCCCTTTGGAGCGGTGCCGGCACGCCGCGGTGCTAACGTAGTCTCTCTGCCCGCGGTCCCAGGGGCTGGGCAGACGTCTGCCCCGGCCTAAAAGTGAGACGGTCACCTAGAGCCGACGAGAGGAGCGGAAGTGTATGGAGCGCCAGGTCCCAGGGAGCACGGGCCAGGCGTGCAGATAAATCACGGTGACTAACTGCACTGATCATTCGGGATTGGCACTGACTGCCAAATGCCGACGCAGGCAGCCAAGTTCTGGGAAAAGAAATCTGCTCCGGACGCGGCAGTAGCGGTACAAAGTGAGACCTACCTGAGGAAGCGGGGAAGCGCCGTCAGCCCCGACGGAGCCTCCTCTCGGGGGCGGGCGGGCGCTCGGGCACTTGCCTAAGTCTTACCTGGCTCCCGCCCTGCCCGAGGAGGTACAGGCTTCTCTGCCTTACAGGAGAGAAAAGCAAGGCTCACCGCAGCTTCTCGGAGCCAAATGAGGACTAAGGTGAGATTCCAAGGCCGATTGTCTGCTCTCCCCGACCCAAAGCGAGTAGGGATCTGCAGGAGTGACTTCAAGCCCGTCACAAAGCAGACCTGTTCCTGTTTTCGATGTGGCGCTGCAAGCCAGAGGGAACTCAGGGGAAGGACCGGTATGCGGGGTGGGGGTAGGGAAGTGCTGGGGCCGCGTCCCGGGGCCAGGCGACCCGCCGGGACCTTCCGGACTCACAGAGCCCGTCCCTCTCGCCGGCGCCCGCACTGATTGGCGCTCCAGCTAGTTCACCTGCCCCTCCCAGCCAATCGGGGCCACCAGAATTGGGGCTGTCGCGCGGGGAGGGGGTTGCGGGGGGCGATGCTGCTGGTTGGAGGCTGAGCCGCTCTCCCTGCCGAGTTCCCGCCAGGCCCGCCGCATCCCCGAGCCCGAGTCAGAGGCTGCGCACCCCACGCCCCTGGCCGCCGCGCTCTGGGCACCCCGCGCTTTAATGCAGCAGCTCCCGGCCCGGGCGGCCCCTCGTCTCTGCCGGCTGAGACGCTCCCGGACGGCGCCCGGAGCCGCCCGCCGACGCC